AAGAAATCGCCAAGTCAACTGTTTCAACTACAAATTAAAGTGATCGGAAATTGTTAATTTGGCCAATTTAACACAAAGTTCAAAATATTCCAATTTCAAAATAGGGTCCAGAATAAACAATGTAGGTATTCCTGGAACTAAACTAACATTTCCTCTGTTCATTAGTTACGTTTTGAGGCTTTACAAATAAATTCCATTTTGATTTTTTATTCACATAATGAATTTTTATTCACACCAAAAAATAGAAGATTTACTGTTATGCAATACTGTAATAATTGTATAAATATCATCACCATATTTTTTTTTTTTTTTTTTTTTCCAACAAGTCGGCCGTCTCCCACCGAGGCAGGGTGACCCAAAAAAAGAAAGAAAATCCCCAAAAAGAAAATACTTTCATCATCATTCAACACTTTCACCACACTCGCACATTATCACTGTTTTTGCAGAGGTGCTCAGAATACAACAGTCTAGAAGCATGCACATATAAAGATACACAACATATCCCTCCACACTGCCAATATCCCAAACCCCTCCTTTAAAGTGGAGGCATTGTACTTCCCATTTCCAGGACTCAAGTCCGACTATATGAAAATAACCGGTTTCCCTGAATCCCTTCACTAAATATTACCCTGCTCACACTCCAACAGATCGTCAGGTCCCAAGTACCATTCGTCTCCATTCACTCCTATCTAACACGCTCACGCACGCTTGCTGGAAGTCCAAGCCCCTTGCCCACAAAACCTCCTTTACCTCCTCTCTCCAACCCTTTCGAGGACGACCCCTACCCCGCCTTCCTTCCCCTATAGATTTATATGCTCACCATATTTGTGAATGCATATTAGACCCACCAGCTGGCGTGTATTAGACGTGTGAGGTCGTTTGTTTACTCTTGAATATCGGCAAAAATTTAACATTTCTGCTACTTTGAGCTCAGTTTCAAGCCATTTCCAGTGCTAAAACCAGTCAAAATCATCTCTGTTTCTGTAATATGTCATCCATTCTATCAAATGAGACCAAGAAATCGCAAATACAACTATAAAAAAACATACGAAAAAACACTGCAAAGTCGCTGTTTTAATCGAAAAATCATGATTTCAGTTTTTTTTCTCATACACAGTTTGCTGCAGGATCTGTTTTATGTGGTGTACACATACCACATAGATGTATTCTCTCATATCTAGGCCCAAATGTACCACTCACAGTTTATCAGAGTGAGCTGAGCTCATGACGTAGATCTACGGTTTGGACCCTGAACGCAAAGCCGTAGATCTACGGGACGGACCCTGAAAGGGTTAAGAAACAGAGAAGAGAAGTAACCCCAGAAAAGCACTTAGTACCTGAGGTGTTGATGGAAGGGGATTCCCCTTCCAAACAGTAAATAATCCAATCTGTCGTCTCCTCCAGTCTTCCATACACTAGGAAGAATCACCAATAAAGGTAAGTGTTATTCTATTAATATTTCATTCACCATGTGCCATTGTATTGTTTATGTACTACATCTATATTTCATGTAAAAAATTTTTTTGTTTTAATACTTCTGGGTGTCAGGAACGGATTAATTGCATTCACATTATTTCTTATGGGGAAAATTTATTAGAAAATCGTCTTTCGATAATAGTCCCTCTTCCAGGAACGGATTATGGACGATTATTGAGGGACCACTGTACTACTCACCTCATGCCTTACATTAAGACTACAAATATTTTATGGTAAGTAATGAATGTACTGTGTATGTATTTTACTTTTTATTGTTTTTTTTTAATGCCTGGTTCTATTACTAACCTAATATAAGTTAGTGAAAATATGTCGTCTGGCATTTATATGCATTTGTGTGTGGAGAAAATGGCGTTTTTGCTTTCCAGCAATGTGTGCTTTCCAACAGTAGCCTGGAACCTAACCTGCTGTATAAGTTGGGCCCTACTGTACTATAAAACAAATGGGGGGTATGGGGCCCCCCTACCTTTTCTCAGGAAAATTGCTCAACATTGACCATTTCTGCCATTCTGAGTCCGGTTTCAGGCTATTCCTAATCAGAAACTGACCATAGTCTGTGCCATTTAACTAGTATACTTTCCAGTCTATCAGTTGGCACCAAGAAATAGCTAGTAAAATCATGACAACCCTCCTAGAAAATAGTAAAAATTGTTATTTTAAACGTAGAAAGCTCCTCAAAGTTGCTTTTTTAAACTAAAGTGTAGCAGCACACTATCCAATTTTGTAAAAAAAAAAAAAAATTGGTTTTAAGCCAAATTCTGTACTAGGTTAGGTGTTTCCATCATTCACTATGTGGGGCAGGATTTTTCGTATACAGTACTACACACGCCTATTGCACAGATCTATTTTATCACATATAGGCCAAAATTTGCTGTTTACAGCTTATTTGAGGGAGCTAAGATTTATGTGCCCCCCTCAGAGAAGGTTCCTTGATTCCTGTGAGGAGCTCTTGATCCAAGAAATCAGACATAACATCCTCTTCCTTGGATTGAGCTGAATGCCTTCCATTTTTCCAGGCGCAGTTTGATCCCAATAGGTTTAGCGCTTGCCTCCGATTAAAATATATATTTTTTTTATAACATGTCGGCCATTTCCCACCGAGGCAGGGTGACCCAAAAAGAAGAAGAAAAAAAAAAAACTTGCATCAGCATTCAACACTTTTACCATTACACACACAATCACTATCTTTGCAGAGGCGCTCAGACACAAAAGCTTAGACAGCCCTCCAAACTGCCAATATCCCAAACCCCTCCTTTAAAGTGCAGGCATTGTACTTCTCATTTCCAGGACTCTAGTCTGGCTAACCGCTTTCCCTGAATCCCTTCACAAAATATTACCCTGCTCACACTCCAACAGCTTGTCAGGTCCCAAAAACCATTCATCTCCATTCACTCCTTACTAATGCTTATGCAAGCTTGCTGGAAGTCCAAGCCCCTCACCCACAAAACCTCCTTTACCTCTAACCTCCTCTAACCTTTTCAGGGACAACCCCTACCCTGCCTGCCTTCTCCTACAGATTTATACGTTCTCCAAGTCATTCTACTATGTTCCATTCTCTCTAAATGACCAAACCACCTCAACAGATCTATGTCAGACACAAATTTTGCTAAGAGTAAAAGGGTTAAACAAGGTTGCTGGAAGCATAGGAAGTATCATGTTTGAGATTGGTGTAATGTGAATATCTTCCAGATTATAAGAGTAAAGAGATTTAGAGCAAGTTAAGATTGATTAAGAGGATGTATAAATCTAGGACGAATGGATAGTGTTGCAGTGGATGTCTCGGGAAGGGTATTAACCCATTCACTGTCGGTCCCGTAATATTAAGGCTTGCAAGCCAGTGTTGGTCCCTTAATGTTACGCCAGAATTCTAATGGCTTAAGATTTGTGGGAGAAAGCTGGTAGGTCTACATTGAGAGAATGGGTCTGAATGGTCACTGTGCACAATATATAAAATATCCTGAAGCACGCAGTGCATGATGAGAAAAAAAAAACTCCGACTGTGTTTTGGGTTTAAAACACCAGCTTTGTGGTGTATTTTCATATGATATTTATGGTTGTATTCTCATTTTCTTGGTCTCATTTGATAGAATGGAAGATACAGTGGACCCCCGGTTAACGATATTTTTTCACTCCAGAAGTATGTTCAGGTGCCAGTACTGACCGAATTTTTTCCCATAAGAAATATTGTGAAGTAGATTAGTCCATTTCAGACCCCCAAACATACACGTACAAACGCACTTACATAAATACACTTACATAATTGGTCGCATTCGGAGGTAATCGTTATGCGGGGATCCACTGTATATTACAGAAATAGAGGTGATCTTGAATGGTTTATGGACAAAAAGTACCTTGAAATTGAGCTCAGAGTAACGGATATGTTGAATTTTTACTGATGTTCAAAAGTAAACAAATCACATCACGTGTCTAATACACATCAACTGGTGAGTCTAATATGCTTTCACAAATGCGCTGATATTTATACCATTTTTACATAATGAAGTAGTCTGCATAACAGTAAATCTTCTATTCTTTGTGTGATAAAAATTAAAAATGGAATGCAAGCGTAATATAAGAGGGGCCTGGAGACGTGACTAATGAACAGAGAAAACATTATTTTAGTCCTAGGAATGTTTGTATTGTTAATTCTGGACCCTCTTTTGAAATTGGCTTTACTTGAATTGTGTATGAAATTGGCCAAATTACCAAATTCTGATCACACTATTGGGTAGTTGAAATCGGTAAAGGGGCAGTTTCTTGTACTTATTCGATAGAATTAATGAAGTTCTAGCGAAATAGCTATGAGTTTGGTCGACTGGAACAATGGAATTGGCTGAAAATAGGGCTCAAAGTGGGCAAAATCGCTGATGCATAAATATCGCTGAGAGCGCTAACTTTGCGAGAGTAATTCCGTAAGTTTTCCATCAAATTTCTTACTTTTGGTGTCATTACCATTAGGAAAAGATTCTGTATTATTTCATAAGGAAAAATAATTTTTTTTTTTAATCTCTCTGGCACTGAGAACAAGTTTGTGAACAGGGGTCTCGGCAGCGAAAGGGTTAATGAAGGTGCAAAGAATTAAGGGCTCGAGCATTTAATAAATGCATGTGGAAGGGAGAAGTTTAATTTTAATGTGCTGTTAGTGTGAGCAAGGTATCCACGAAGAGATTGCTGAAACCATTTAGTTTCCATTAGATGTTTAAGTTAAGTCTTCTGAATTTGCTAATTCAGCAAGAATTTTTTTCCAAAACTGAAACAAAAATTGTTGCAGTAACTGCAAAAATTTACATTTAATTGTTAAATAATACTTGCTGAGCTTAGGTTAAACTGAGATTATTTGATTAGGCATCAGCAACATTGTTAATTTTAACTAGATTAGATTACTAAGTTATTGATGGTACAAAATTAAAAATATGCTGTACCTATTCTCATGAGTAATTTTTTTTTTTTTTTTAATTTTGAGGCAGTTTAGCTTATGTATATTAATTTTTCTCTCATATTTCAAGAGTGAATACTAGAACTTGTCCCAGAAGTTCCTTGCTTGGCATCAGTTTGAGCAAACCTTGCCAACCAGAATTCCCACCTGTTGACACTGAAGAAGTAATGATTGAAAAAGAGAATCAGAAGATGGCTGCTCGTAAACAGAAGCTAAGACCTAAAAGATTGGCTGTTGTTAAAGATACGTCTCTGGATAATCCTACTCCTCAGATGATAGAAATTATGAACAAGATTAGAGAAAAGTCTGCATCTCCACCTATATGCCAAAAGCGACATCGACACAACAGGTAAGCAATCCTTCATAATTTTTAATTTTGTTTACTGAAATTATTTGATTTACAGGTTATCAAGAGGACTTCAGATTAACAATGTTTCTACATACAGCCAGTATTTTTTTTTTTTTTTTTTTTATACATACCAGCCACTTCCCACCAAGGCAGGGTGACCCAAAAAGTAAGAAAACTTTATAACGTTTCCCTTCTTTTTACATTTAGTAATTTTTACATGAGAGGGGTTACTGGCCCCTTGCTTCCCTTACAACACACATTGCTTACAGAGGAAGGATTCCATAACCAAAATGTCAAACCACTAAATGTACAAGTATTTACACTTCACTTAATAACTTGTATTTTCTCTTTTGAATACAAAGAATGGCAGAAAATATCCAGTTATTTTAATGCTAATATTTTAACAGATAAAGTTGTAAATAAAGTGTATCCCAATGTAGATTTTGCACATTATTTCTTCAGTGGCTGGTATTAGTAGTTTAATACATGAGAAATTGTATTACTGTATGTATACAGCACACAGCAAGTTACTCCTGTTTTTAACCCTTAAACTGTCCAGGTGTAGATCTACTTTATTTTTACACGCTTTCAAATGTAAAGAAAGAGTAAATATACGTTCGGAGTGCTTGTGGTGCAAACATAGGTCTAAGTTTGGACAGTTTAAGGGCTAATGTTCTGTGATACCTTCTATCCACAATTATGATGATACTTATAATAATATATCATTAGGGGTGTACCAAAGTATCAGTATTGGTGGGTATTGGGCTAATTTTTATTATATCAGTATCAGACCAATTTCAGTATCTGTATTGGTGAATATCAACTAATATTAGTAATCTAGGAATCGGCTTAAAATTGCCTTGCTTCACTTCCCCATTCTATCTCTTGTGGCACTTCCACTACTTTACCTACTCACTACTACTTCCACTACCAGCATTACCCATACCATAACTTCTTTCTTCTTCTCTGTCCTGTCCCTGTCCCCCGTCTATATATACTGGCTCCACCTTTGTGTGTTACTGTGACTTGTAAATGGTCCAAGTTGGACCAAAATGTCGTCATAAGCTTCTCTGTTTTATGTATGGATTATGTATTGAGTATGGTTATTGGTACAGTGGACCCTCGGTTATCGGCCATAATCCGTTCCAGAAGCTCAGCCTAAAACCAAAATGGCCGAAAACCGAAATAATATTTCCCATAAGAATTAATGTAATTACAGTTAATCTGTTACAGACAAAAATATTTATTATTTTTTTATTATGACACTGGCCGATTCCCACCAAGGCAGGGTGGCCCGAAAAAGAAAAACTTTCACCATCATTCACTCCTTCACTGTCTTGCCAGAAGGGTGCTTTACACTACAGTTTTTAAACTGCAACATTAACACCCTCCTTCAGAGTGCAGGCACTGTACTTCCCATCTCCAGGACTCAAGTCCGGTCTGCCGGTTTCCCTGAACCCCTTCATAAATGTTACTTTGCTCACACTCCAGCAGCATGTCAAGTATTAAAAACCATTTGTCCCCATTCACTCCTAACAAACACGCTCACGCATGCCTGCTGGAAGTCCAAGCCCCTTGCATACAAAACCTCCTTTACCCCCTCCCTCCAACCTTTCCTAGGCCGACCCCTACCCCACCTTCCTTTCACTACAGACTGATACACTCTTGAAGTCACTCTGTTTCGCTCCATTCTCTCTACATTTCCGAACCACCTCAACAACCCTTCCTCAGCCCTCTGGACAACAGTTTTGGTAATCCCGCACCTCCTCCTAACTTCCAAACTACGAATTCTCTGCATTATATTCACACCACACATATCCCTCAGACATGACATCTCCACTGCCTCCAGCCTTCTCCTCGCTGCAACATTCATCACCCATGCTTCACACCCATATATGAGCGTTGGTAAAACTATACTCTCATACATTCCCCTCTTTGCCTCCAAGGACAAAGTTCTTTGTCTCCACAGACTCCTAAGTGCACCACTCACCCTTTTCCCCTCATCAATTCTATGATTCACCTCATCTTTCATAGACCCATCCGCTGACACGTCCACTCCCAAATATCTGAATACATTCACCTCCTCCATACTCTCTCCCTCCAATCTGATATCCAATCTTTCATCACCTAATCTTTTTGTTATCCTCATTACCTTACTCTTTCCTGTATTCACTTTTAATTTTCTTTTGCACACCCTACCAAATTCATCCACCAATCTCTGCAACTTCTCTTCAGAATCTCCCAAGAGCAGTGTCATCAGCAAAAAGCAACTGTGACAACTCCCACTTTGTGTGATTCTTTATCTTTTAACTCCACGCCTCTTGCCAAGACCCTCGCATTTACTTCTCTTACAACCCCATCTATAAATACAGTGGACCCCTGCATAACGATATTATTTCAATCCAGAAGTCTGTTTGGGTGCCGTTATAGACCGAATGTGTTCCCATAAGAAATATTGTGAATTTGATTAGTCCATTTCAGACCCCTAAAAATACACCTACAAAAGCACTTACATAATTGGTCGAGTTGGGAGCTGATCGTTATCCGGGGGTCCACTGTATATTAAACAACCACGGTGACATCACACATCCTTGTCTAAGGCCTACTTTTACTGGGAAATAATTTCCCTCTTTCCTACATACTCTAACTTGAGCCTCACTATCCTCGTAAAAACTCTTCACTGCTTTCAGTAACCTACCTCCTACACCATACACCTGCAACATATGCCACATTGCCCCCCTATCCACCCTGTCATACGCCTTTTCTAAATCCATAAATGCCACAAAGACCTCTCTAGCCTTATCTAAATACTGTTCACTTATATGTTTCACTGTAAACACCTGGTCAACACACCCCCTACCTTTCCTAAAGCCTCCTTGTTCATCTGCTATCCTATTCTCCGTCTTACTCTTAATTCTTTCAATAATAACTCTACCATACACTTTACCAGGTATACTCAACAGACTTATCCCCCTATAATTTTTGCACTCTCTTTTGTCCCCTTTGCCTTTATACAAAGGAACTATGCATGCTCTCTGCCAATCCCTAGGTACCTTACCCTCTTCCATACATTTATTAAATAATTGCACCAACCACTCCAAAACTATATCCCACCTGCTTTTAACATTTCTATCTTTATCCCATCAATCCCGGCTGCCTTACCCCCTTTCATTTTACCTACTGCCTCACGAACTTCCCCCACACTCACAACTGGCTCTTCCTGACTCCTACAAGATGTCATTCCTCCTTACCCTATACACGAAATCACAGCTTCCCTATCTTCATCAACATTTAGCAATTCCTCAAAATATTCCCTCCATCTTCTTAATACTTCTAACTCTCCATTTAATAACTCTCCTCTCCTATTTTTAACCCTTTCAGGGTCCAAGGCCCAAATCTGGAGTCACGTACCAGTGTCCAAGAATTTAAAAAAAAAAAAATTTGTTATTTTTTCGTATGAAATCATAGAGAATCTTTTTGTGAAAGTAATAAAACAAAAAGTACGAAATTTGGTGGAAAATTGACGAAATTATGCTCTCGCGAATTTTGGTGTGTCAGCGATATTTACGAATCAGCGATTTTGCCGACTTTGACTCCCATTTTAGGCCAATTACATTATTCCAATCAACCAAATTCTTAGCTATTTCACTAGTATTACTTCTATTCTATCGATTGAGCACAAGAAATCGCCAAGTCAACTGTTTCAACTACAAAATAAAGTGATCGGAAATTGTTAATTTGGCCAATTTAACACAAAGTTCAAAATATTCCAATTTCAAAATAGGGTCCAGAATAAACAATGTAGGCATTCCTGGCACTAAATTAACATTTCCTCTGTTCATTAGTTATGTTTTGAGGCTTTACAAATAAATTCCATTTTGATTTTTTATTCACATAATGAATTTTTATTCACACCAAAAAATAGAAGATTTACTGTTATGCAATACTGTAATAATTGTATAAATATCATCACCATATTTGTGAATGTATATTAGACCCACCAGCTGACGTGTATTAGATGTGTGAGGTCGTTTGTTTACTCTTGAATATCGGCAAAAATTTAACATTTCCGCTACTTTGAGCTTAGTTTCAAGCCATTTCCAATGCTAAAACCAATCAAAATCATCTCTATTTCTGAATATGTCTTCCATTCTATCAAATGAGACCAAGAAATCGCAAATACAACTATAAAAAACATACGAAAAAACACTGCAAAGTTGCTGTTTTAATCGAAAAATCACGATTTCAGTTTTTTTCTCTCTTTATACACAGTGTGCTGCAGGATCTGTTTTATGTGGTGCACACATACCACATAGATGTATTCTCTCATATCTAGGCCCAAATGTACCACTCACAGTTTATCAGAGTGAGCTGAGCTCATGGCGTAGATCTACGGTTTGGACACTCACCGTAAAGCCGTAGATCTATGGGACGGACCCTGAAAGGGTTAACTGACAAATCCATTTGTTCTCTAGGCTTCCTTAACTTGTTAATCTCACTCCAAAACTTTTTCTTATTTTCAACAAAATTTGTTGATAACATCTCACCCACTCTCTCATTTGCTCTCTTTTTACATTGCTTCACCACTCTCTTAACCTCTCTCTTTTTCTCCATATACTCTTCCCTCCTTGCATCACTTCTATTTTGTAAAAACTTCTCATATGCTAACTTTTTTTACCTTACTACTCTTCTTTACATCATCATTCCACCAATCGCTCCTCTTCCCTCCCGCACCCACTTTCCTGTAACCACAAACTTCTGCTGAACACACTAACACTACATTTTTAAACCTACCCCATACTTCTTCGACCCAAAAAAATACTTTTTTACAAATCAGTATTACATACCTTTATTGAAGACTAATGCTGGCTTTTGGAATACCTGCTACACTCCCAACATGCCTGCTACACTCCCAGCATGCCTGCTACACTCCCAGCATGCCTGCTACACTCCCAGCATGCCTGCTACACTCCCAGCATGCCTGCTACACTCCCAGCATG